TTATCATTTTATGGTTTTTCCGTAGTTTTCCAGAATAAACTATGGTGGCGACTCCAAATCCATTTTCGAAACCCGTTTCCTTTTTTGGATCGTCGTCCCGTCGCGATTCCGGTTGCGACAAACACTATGTTTCTTGTTTTTCCAAGAGATCAGGTTACCACCAATGGAGACACAATATCCGAATGTAGATCTTCTATCAAAAAGAGATCTTGCACAATCAGCATCATAATAACAAACCACTCTTGTATGGTTACTATAACCATATAACAACCCTTTTTCAGGAGATCCTTTAATGTACTTTAATATACAAATAACTACATTCCAATGATCTTCACATGAAGAATTAAGGAATTGGCTTACCACACTAACTACAAATGAAATATAAGAACGAGTAATTGTAAGATAATTCAATTTTCCAACTAGTTTTCTATATTTCTCGGATCTGACATAGGTTCTCCCTGTTTTGGTAGAAGTTTAGTATCAGGATCCATGGGTGTGTCCACATGTTTTGAATTCATCAATCCAGTTTCCTCCAAAATATCTAGTGCATATTTTCTTTGAAATAGCAATACCATCGTTGGATTGTGCCACCTCAATACCCAAGAAATATCTAAGTTTGCCAAGATCTTTGGTCTGAAAATGGTTGCAAAGATGTTGTTTCATCTTAGAGATGCCATAACTATCATTGCTTGTAGAAACAATGTCATCAACATATACTATCAAGTAGACATATCCAATACGTGAGTGATAGTAAAAGGCTGAATGATCTGTCTCACACTGAGTCATACCAAATTGTTGAACAACATTACTAAATTTTCCAAACCAAGCCCCAAGAGATTGTTTTAGGCCATATAAGAATTTGCAAAGACGACATATCAACCTAGAAACTCCCCCTGAGCAAAAAATCCTAAAGGTAGCTCCATATAAATATCTTCTTGCAAATCTCCGTTAAGGAATGCATTTTTGACATCTAGTTGATAAAGAGGTCATTGTTGAAGAGTCGTCATGGCTATAAATAAACGAACAAATGTCATCTTTACCACTAAAGAAAAAGTATCACCATAATCCAACCCAAAAATTTGAGTGTAACCTTTGGCCACAAGACGAGCTTTGAGGCGATTAATAGTTCTATCAGAACCAACTTTGATAGTAAAAATTCACCTGCAATCAACAACAGGTTTCCCATACGGTAATGGGACAAGCTCCCAAGTTTCACTACTCTAAAGAGCACTTAGTTCGTCTAGCATGAACTGACACCAACCAGGATGGGCTAAGGCATCAATAACATATTTTGGGATGGTCACAGAAGAAATAGACGAAAGGCAGGTATATAAAGATGAAGACAGTCTATGATAACTTAAAGCAAGATAATGTGGAGAGGGATTACGGGTAGAACATATACCTTTTCGAAGGGCAATTGGAAGAGTAGACTCAGTTGTCAGAACTGAAGGAGACGAGGTAGTTGACACTTCAATTGAGTCACTTGGTGATTGTTGAAAAACACCTAGTGAACTAGACACAATTGGAGGAACACAAATAACATGAATATTGATAATATTAGAAGGAAACATATCAAAAGAAGAATGATCATTAAAATAAAAGGAAGATCCATTGAAGGTGACATCTGTAGATATAAAATCACGATCAAGAGAAGGAGAAAAACAATTGTATCCTTTCTTTGATTTAGTAAACCTAAAAAACACATTTGGGTGATAGAGGAGCTAACTTATCAAGACAGGACCAAAATTATGAACAAAACATGTAGACCCAAAAACTTTTAAAGGTAAGGGGTTCATGAGAAAATAATGGATGATCCGATAGCGGCCTAATAACGGGTGGAACAATATGTCCAACAAACAACAAGTATCGCTAGGATAGGTTTTAACCATATCTCTGATACCATGTTAAGAAGTGAACTTTAAACCTGACTCAACCCCAAAAAACTGGCTTATAAGGTGAGATTTGCACCCACTTATATATATATATATATATATATATATATATATATATATATATATATATATTATAAATTGACTTTATCTCCAGTCGACATGGGACTTCCAACAGGTTAAAAAAATTAAAATTTTTATACGAACCAATTTGGAGCTTGACCCACTAAAAACCCGACTCGATCGGGTTGAACCCGTAGTGAGCCAAGTTGACTCGCCAACCCATTTAATTTTGTTTGTTTATACTTAATTTTGGATTATATGCAGAGTTTAAGATGATTTTGCATTGTATTATATATTTTTATTTTGAATTATCTTTGTAATTTAACATCATTTTTTATTGAAATTTATTTAGATTTAAGTTAGAAAAAAAATGTTATTTATTTTAATTGAAAAACAAACTTGTCAGTGTGAGCCAAGAAGCCAATCCGTTTAACCCATCAACCTGTGATGAGTCGGTTCGTGTTTAAATTTTTTTGATTCGCTAATAAGTAAGTCGAATTGATACAAAGGGCTACTCGTAGTTATGGTTGGTTGGGAATGCTTTCGTTCGAGGGGGAGTGTACCAATGTGAAAAGGACTTACCCTTGAGGGGGATATTGTTGGGTATTCAAGTGTAAGTCCAAATCCCACATTGGATAGAAATGAGAAAGTAAAGCATTATATAAAGGTGAAAGACCCATTAACCCATTGCCTTAAGGTTTTGGGTAGAGAGTAGCGTCAATCTCCGGTAAACCTCCTCCTCGATAGACCCAACAGGATTGACTCACTAAGTGGCCAACCCGTAGTTTCATACTCCAAAATGAATAATATTTGAGTTGTGTGGTGATTGATTCTAATAATGTTATTTGGAATTAGAACAATATAATTAAAAAGAACCCCCGTTTTGTTTTATTAATTTGTGCTTAATTGCATTTTCTTCTGTTTCTGTAGGCAACACTAGCACCACCCGTGAAAGGGAAAATGTTCAAGGGACTATGTGTATGCTATTTTGTACTCATAGCCACTTTCTTTAGTGTATCTGTTTCTGGTTATTGGGCATTTGGCAACGAATCTAAAGGCCTGATATTAAGCAATTTTGTAGACAATGGGAACCCATTGGTGCCCACATGGTTCATTTACATGACCAACATTTTCACTATAACACAACTATCAGCCGTTGGTGTGGTAAGTCACATACTAATTTAATGTGAAATTTGTAACTTGTATTTCTAACCAAAGTAAGCATAAAAATAAAGCATTGAATTTGAATGCAGGTTTATTTGCAACCAACAAATGAAGTGCTGGAGCAAGCATTTGGAGATCCAAAAAGCCCTGAGTTCTCGAAACGCAATGTAATACCGAGAGTGATTTCTCGATCACTGGCTATTACTATTTCAACCATTATAGCAGCCATGCTTCCATTTTTTGGAGACATAAACTCTCTTATTGGAGCTTTTGGCTTTATCCCTCTTGATTTCATCTTGCCAGTCATTTTCTACAACTTCACATTTAAGCCATCTAAGCGAACCTTTATTTTCTGGTTGAATCTAACTATTGCCGTCGCTTTCTCTGCTTTGGGAGCTATAGCAGCAATTGCAGCAGTTAGGCAGATTGTTATTGATGCAAAAGATTATCGATTATTTGCTAATGTATGATCTCCTTCTTCATAATGAAATCTCCTGCTTCAGTTCATATACATACAGGTGCAATATTTTGTTGTATAAAACTTAGAACAAAACGAAGATAACTTCAAAATTATCTTTATCCATAAATTATATATGTCTTTGGCTGTCTTTGATTTGAGATCGGAGGACTTTTGTATCGGTAAAATAAACGTCGGCCGCCCACAATCAGACGTCTATATAGACGTTTCACATGTACTATCCGACGTCTGACTTGTATTATCCGACGTCTACATTGACGTCTCCCAATAAGACGTTGGTGCGGGATCAGACGTTAAAAGTCTTTTCTGCACTAGTGAGAAATTCAGTTAGTTAAAGTATTAAGTCAATAGTTCATTGTATTTGTTTATATACATTTTAAAGGATTAAGTTTAATTAGTAATATGATTTTTATATTTGAACCAAATATTTAATAATTTCTTAATATTTTTTTAACTTGATTATATTATAATTTTGTTTAAAATCCAATAATTTTATCTTATGTTATATTTAGTGTTAAAGACGCTTAAATTGTGATGGGTGAAAGATACATATAACACTTTTGGCTAGAATTTCTTGAACATTGTTATCTTCTTTATAATCGAGTTAAAAAAATATATAAAAAAAGAATTCAATATTTTAGTCTAAATATAACTAACAATCAAAGTATTAATTAAACCTAACTTTTAATTTGGTTTGATTGTATTGGTACATTATATTTTGGAATACTTTTAGTTTTAGGATTTCATTAGTTTTAAGTTTTGCAGTTTTTTATTCACATATTAAATACATTTTATTTTCAGTTAATATTTTTTTCATATTGTCTATTGTACCAAACTAAATCTTTAAATATTTCAATCAAAATTAAAATGAAGAAATAATATCATTCTTTTCACTACATACTATATTTTTATTAGTAATAAGGAACTCAATACTAAGATTAGGATTTCTCAAAAAGATACTGATAAGAGAAAGAAAAAAGAAATTACTGGAAGATTTTGGAAAGTATAAAAGAAAATTATTTCTTTTTATGGAAATATTTCTTTTTTAAAAAAAATATAAAATTTCAAAAAATATCCAAAGAATATTTCCAAATTATCCCTAGAACATTCTCCATTATTTCTTTTAAATGTTCTTTCTAAAATGTTCTAAAAAATTCTACAAAAAAGAAGGGATTTACCCACGGCCATAAGCCTTCGGTAATATGCGTGTCGAAAACATTACAGACGACATTGGGCCTTTGGTATTATCGACGGGCAAAAGTCCTCAGTAATACTGAAGGCCAGAAAGTCGTCGGTATTACCGAGGGGCGAAGGCCCTTGGTAATTGAAGGCGAAAAGAGAGGGATATAATGATGACATCACAGCAGCTGGGAATGATAAAAAGAAAAAGAAGATTTAATGCAGAGACTGATCCAGGATTTCTAGATGAAAGAATTGAGAAATTTGAAGCGGCATGCTCCAGCAAAGATAAATTGGATGCAAGAAAGCCCCTACTCCATTGATCTTAAGCATAAGCTATAGGAAGCTAAAGTAAAACCTGCAGTAGACAAAAGATTGCCAAAGATGGTTGGAAGACTAATCTTGTTTAAACATGGCCAAGGCATATAGCATATTCAGTTAGTCTCATTAGTCAATTCATGTTCAATGCAAGAGAACCTCACATTCAATCTACAGCATACAGAGTTTTAAGCACTTCACAAGGGAACCCCAAAAATAGTCTTATTCAAGAATAATGAAAAAGTGATGTTAGGATCCAATTGCAAAGTATGGGAGTTCCATCCCATATTTGAAGTAAGGATTCTAGTATGGAATATCAGGTTCAATGGCTCTTAAACTACAATAGCTAGATTTTGTGGTATGATTCACCAAAGGTTCTTATTAATTAGTACAAGAGCGTCGAAAATGTTTTTCAACAGCAAACAAGCTAAATAGGTATTGCACTACTCACCAGGGTAGTCAAAGGGAAAGTGCATAACAAACCAACATGATCATAATGGAGTGTGATGGGATGTTACAACCCAGTTGGTATAGGACTTGAGTCCCACAATCGACGAAAGGATTTTAAAGTTGGGTTAGCTAGACCTTGTTGAGCTCTCCAACTACAACAACTAAGTTTTTATGGTGTGGTTCTCCCACGGTTATTATCACACAAATGCAGGCTATACAAGTTCACTAGTGGATAGAAGATCAATGTTCACATATTGTACTTTCCTACGGAAATTTAGTTAAATGAAAAGGTAAGAACACAACACAGTAGCTAGATCATCTACAGAATAAAAATTCAAATATATTATTCAAGGAGTTTTTTTCATCTATGGATAAGAGTTATCCTAGATGACTTGGAACTTGGAAGCCAAGTAAGTATGTCTCATTAAGCTCCATTATAACCAGAAGTTGGCGATTAATAAAACTCAGTCCTACAAGCATGATAGGAGTATAGCACAAAGCATGATGAAATAGATAATCATTTTACACATCATCATGGAAAAGCTATAAGAAAACTTAGTGTGTTTCATACAAAGAGCAAATAGCTCATGTCCAACACAGGGGCTGAAAGGCTCCAGTTTCAATGATCCAATTACCAAGCTAAGAATGGGAAGACTTATATTAATAAAACTGGGGGAGAGGGGGTGAAGCTGAAAATGTGGATATTGTAAATTAGATGTAAATCATTTCAGTGTATCAGGTTTGAAATCCCTTGAATCAAAGGAATCTGTAAAGGAGTCTGTCCAGGAAGCTAGACCTGATTATTAGGATATAATTTCTGATTATTGGGGTGATTTATTTTCTTACATATAGCCTTGCACTATGCTAGAAATACCTGTGATATTATTTTGAAATATCAATGACATCATTCTATTCTCTTTTCAAATTGCAATTTTCCAATTATTGAAAGTCAATACTAATATTATACACAGAGTAATAAAAGCTCTTAGCACTACAATAAACAATGAATAATGGAATATACTATTTCGAAGATGACACAATTCATAAAAACAATGTGTGAATAGAACCGCAAATTGTATGCAGGAAACTAAGCTCATAATGAAAATATTAGTACTAACCAACACCTATAATAGTTAGTTACTCACAATAGTGGTGCCTAAAGAAGGAAGCAGTTGAATTTAATCGCAGTTTCCAGTTAAGCATCCAAGAATCTATTCATTCAAATATCCTCAACGACCAATATCCAAAGAATGTTGGCACCTTCAAAAACTCTAAGGCCACACAAAAAGAACACAATTTCTACCACACACACAATGACAGAGACAAAACAACATGAAAACGAAAAAAAGAAAGAAAACAAGCATCATTCAAGTACAATCTCTTCTCGACAAAAATTCAATTTAAAAAAAAACTTACCTCGAAAGCAAAATGGACGAAGATGTCAGCCTCTGCAGACCACGACCACGAACTTAACAAGCCCACATCACCCCAACGTTGTCGTCAAGTCAACCTTGATGACCCATCACCACTATCGATAAACACCGACTAGCACGACCCACCACCCTGCCGGAAACACCACGCCACCAACGACCACAATTCCACGGGAGAACGCCTTAGGGTGACCAAAAACGGACTAGGGCTTTGGTATCATTGGAGGAATTTCTGAAATTTGGCAGAGGAGAGGGGAAATTTCTAAAATTTGGGCAAAGGAGAGGAAGATTAGGGCTTTGGTATCATTGGAGGAGCAAAGGGGAAGGGTTGGAGGGAAGGGTTTTGGGCGACGAAGAATAGGACGAAGACTAGGGCTAGTGGGAAAATGAATTGCAGAGAGAGAACAACTTAAAATTCTTCAAAGACATTACCGAAGGCTTCTAAGCCGTCGGTAATTGAATTCACCACTGCATTACCGAGGGCTCCTAGGCCGTGGGTAAAAAGCCGCCGGAAAAACGCACATTTCCTTCATGTTCTAAAATATGAATCTAATCACCTCATTTATGACTTGGTTAAGGAAGTTACAATCTGTGTCATTTTTTTTGGTTATCATCAATCTTCTCCCCCTTATTCTTTTTTTTTCTTACCATTTCAAAAGACTTCATGAACACACTAGGGAAATGAGAGTTTATTTATAAGATTTAAGTGTCTTTATTTAGGATTTGCAGTTATCATTGTATTTTGTATCTTAGAAAAAAATTCTTGAAGGGGTGAATCAACAATGTATTAATGGATCTTAAAAAGGGTACCTTATTCCATTCTTCATTCAAATTCTTTTGAGAAGAATAAGAACTATCATTTATCAATATCTATAAGTTTAATGTTGAAATAAATAAAAAAAAATATTACAAATAATATAATGTTAAACTAAATAGTTAAAATATTAAGCAGTCGAATACTCATTTCAAGACATATATATAGCAGAAAATGAAATCACAGAAAAACTGTCACATTAATCAAAAGGAACTTTATTGTTTTTTAGTTACAATGCTGACTAACTAGATGAACAATTCTTCAAAGTCATACACTATAAATGATTAACCTCTGGCATAAACCAGAAAACAGAAAACTTAATCTCCACATTGAAAACTACAAACAAAGGCTATAACAGATAGTTTCATAACTCTATAACATTTGCATTCACTTCTGCAGAAGTCTTCTGATCTGAATCATCTGATGCAGACTGTGGTGCCTGGTTGTCCATATCAACACCAATAACACATGCAGAGTGCATATTAGTAGCACTATCTGCTACTCCATTTGGTGTGCCAGAAAACACACTATCTGCTACACAACTAGGTACTGTTGTTCGAACAAGTTCTGTTGGTTGTGAAGAACAACTTTTCTCTCCTTCTGTCAACTTTGGAACTTTCATTTTACGTCTTTCTGAATCTGGACTTTCCAGCATAAGGGGGCCATTCGAAAATTCTAACAATTGTTTCCTCTTGAATTGACTGCTGATGTTTTGCTTGAAAGTGGCCATTACAAGCTGATGCACACAAGAGACAGAAACCTTGAAAGTTATCACAATGCAACAGTGTACAATAATACATAAATAAACTAGGTACATCAAGAAAAATTTAAGGACAAACTAATTTTAATATTATTCTTCTGGTCTGCATTAAATGGTTAGCATAGATTGAGATA